AGAGAGAGAGAGAGAGAGAGAGAGAGAGAGAGAGAGAGAGAGAGAGAGAGAGAGAGAGAGAGAGTGGCTTGTGCTTGAGCTTATCGTGTGTGACTTTCTGGAGTTGAATGCATAGAAGTTGAAAGAAGTGAAAGTGGAACACAGTCGAGAGACTGGACCTCATACGCGAACCAATTTATGATGGTTGTTGGTATGGCAACTGCAGGCAGATGGTTGCACTTGCTGGCACGCCTGGTGCTGGCAAATCTACAGTAGCAAATGCGGTGTGCGATCGGCTGAACCTCTTAGCGGCATCACATCCCGCCCTCCAAAAGGGCGAGGTGGGAGGTGGGAATCCAGGGAAGGTACAACAAGGCAGTGATATTGCAATTGCTCTCCCCATGGACGGTTTCCATTTGTACAGGTGGCAGCTAGACAAGATGGAGGTATTGCATGGACTCTCTTTGCCTCCTCCTCCTCCTCCCTCCTTGTTTTCCCTCCCACTTTGTCTGTCTTCTCATCAGCATCCTCGTGTCATCTGCATCCTTATATTATTCCCCCTCCTCCATGCATGTGCCCTTCACAATTGTCTGAAACATTTTCACTGAGAGCGGTTGAGGGGTTATCTCAGGGAACTGACCACTAGGTTCAGCCAGCAAAACCAGTTGAGCGGGGAACTGGCCCAATTTTTTTTTTTTTTTTTTTTTTTTTCCTAGCATGTGGGACGCGACTTAACTCACTGAGAGCATGCGGAATCCGCATCAAAATTTGTGGACTGGTAACTTTTGTTGAGGGGGAGGGGAGGGGGGCGTGGTGTGGGGGTGTGGGGGTGTGGGGGTGTGGGTTGCAGTTGGGGATTTCCCAGAAGACAGAAGAGGAAGAAGAAAGCAAAGATAAGGGGAAAGGAGGAGTTCTTTGAGTTCAGGACTTCAAGACTTGAGTCTTGAACTTAAAGAAGAAACAAGAAGAAGAAGGGGAAGGTGGCAATGGCCAGGGGAGGACATTGAAGGAGGGACTTGTGATGGGCAGAGGGAGTGGGTGTGGGTGACAACCTGTGGACAAGTTCGACAACACCTTTTCATTTTTTGGGTGGCTGGACATCCGTGAAGAAATTATGGAGGGCGATGAGGACAGGGTGGCGATCTGGGGAGGGCGACGAGGAGGGGGGAGTGACGACGGGGAGGGGAGGGTGGCGTGCAGAGGGG